TGATGAATTCCTTAACTACATAGCGTTCACTAAACCCAACTCCGGATGATGATGATGATGGTGACGATGGTGATTTCGTTAATTACAAAACGTTCACTGAACCCGGTTCCGCTCCTAAGCATGGTGCCAACAGCCTGTGCCATCTTTCGGCGATGTAGGTCAGAAGCAAAATAGAGAAGAGATGTCCGTGGTGACGATGATGATGATGATGATGACGATAATTATCTGCGAGCTCGCCATTTCGCAACAAAGCCATTTGCGAAACGATGACGCACAGGTAATCGATGGGAAGGCATGCGCAGTTTCCAGGCAACTGCGTTTAGACTTGAGGTTTCGAGAGTCTCAATGGACCTGGAAATTTCTCCCCACAGCGCAGCTGTGTTTTGTGCAATTTTGATGCCTTTCGGGTCAGCGTATTTCGGCCGCTGAAGAATCTTTCGATTTGCCTCGCCAACATGCGGTTTGGTGTGGTGGATATTGTCAACTCGAAAGCACTAACGATTTGCCACACCGTAAATTTATGGTGTTTGCTTAATCATTTAGGACATGGACGAAGATTACTCTCGCGCTTCGGTTCGTTGCCTCTGAGCGCATAGGCCGCCACTTTGAGCCGCAGGTTCCTAAATTTGTGTGTTGAATTTTGTTGCACATTTCAGTTGCGGAAATGCCGGCGCCCCGGGTACCATGCTTCTATAGTCCCAGGTACATAACATGAAGTTTTGATGTGATTTGTGTCCAAAATTTATATATTAACCTATATTACTGCGTGTTGCGGTATCAGATTCTTTTTTGCTCTCATGTTCTGTGTCAGCTTTATTGAGAAAAGTATCATCGCCAGAGAATTTAGGCGCTGTCAAGGTAATTCAAATATGATTTAAATCGTTAAATAATTTCCGTCTTTTCACCAGTTCTATTGATGCACAAATTGATTCACTCAATTCGTCAATTTTATTCACTTATATATTCAATACATTCAATTAAATTGCACTTGACTCAAAATCCTTATTTGCTGTCCTGTGAGCAGCCAAGGCATGACCTCATTGTGATAACGAGATCATGATTTCGTTGTTGAAAGAACAGCATATGGAAACAATATTTTCCATTACAATCAGCACACCTTTATTTGCAAGATTGACTTTAGGCTAATAGCTGACCATGACTCGATAATGCATTTACTATTTTCATTTCAATGATGCGAATTCATATAAATCCGAACCATCCAACCGTAAGAAGGATCTTCGCCAAGATGAATCACAGTCACCTTCTCTCATCCTTCCCATCCTGCGGCCGATCCAGTGGATTCCAAACACACTTCGGTCAGATCACAAGGGAGATGCTCATCCTACGATGCATGCCCCTGTCGCCGTTGCAGCCGCCATGGCCGTATACGGTACGTATACGTATACGGTACGCGCACCCCCCGCAATCTCCCCAAGACAACAGAAACGACGAAAGGAAGGCACCAAAGGTCAGCCTGATAGCCAAATCGGGCGCTCAGCTTGATCAACCGGCCACGAAGGCATTGACTCGTGGCAAACACGCACTCCACATCCCCTACGACATGTGCAGCCTCTGTGGAGGGCATCATGCGGTGATGTGCAAGGGACGCACGATTTTTGTGAGGGACATTGCAGCAACGTTGATGTGAGCGTTGCGGAGGCCAAGGCTTCCACCGCAGCCACGACAACGAAAAGAGCCCGATCGCGGTCATGCCCGCGACAGATCCAGCGGACACGGCAATCATGGCATCTATGCGGTCCATAAAGAGGCTCGCTGCGGAGGCCGCAGTCCGTGAAGGGGACATGATAGCCACAGAAATTGCGTACTGCAGGACAGGCAAGTACGGCGGAGGTGGCAGAGGTGGTGGGAAGGCTTCCTCAAGCGGTCCGCCAATGATTGTGGCCACAACACATGCGAAGAGCAGAACAGCCAGCGCAGATACGATCCCCGAAAATCCTTGCACCTGGAAGCCCATGTGAAGCACAGTCCACGCCCATATGGGAAGCACCGCGCTGTCAAGGCACCCAAGCATGTCGGAGCCATTTACCGCGCCTGTGCTGGTGGCCATGGCTACGGGCCACACAACAGCGAAGAGTTATGGCATCGGTGATACGCACAACCCAACGCCATGGACAAGACGGGCAGCGACGGCTGCGCACCCGCAAAGGTAAGCCGGGCACCGCAGAACTAGCGCTTCTGCGACAGCCCTGAAGGGCGACAGCGACGGCCAAGCACATGCCCGCAAATGCAAACGTTTTGTTGCAGCGAAGCTTGCGCTGCAGCGTGCATACTGCATGTGGGCAGAGGGTTTCGACGCATTATTCCATCTGGTTCTGTCTTTTGATTCAGTCCTATCTCATGTCGAAAGCAAATGGTTGCGATATTGCATTGCTTGCAGAAGGAGACCGCACTGTACTGATGACGTGCTGTTTTAAAGGCAAACTTGTACGCACAGACAAAGTAGGGTGTCTCTCAACTTTGCCATCGATTCGCATGCGAGCGGCCTACTTACAACCACCACATAGACCCCAGCTCAATGTGGAGGCTTCATAATCTGCGAGGACACCAAGGCTCTTAGCGCAAATGCGCCACGCTTTCTCTGCAGATCACTGCTCCGACTCAATGCTTGAAGCGCATTCAAAAGCATAAGGACTCCGCATCATGAAGCGCAACATTCACGCCCCCTGGCTGTTCGCTTTCACCTGGGAACCTTCTGAAAAGGATGGCAAAGTCGAGCTGCCGCGGCCACCTTATTCCGGCACAACTTTTCCCAGACTTGTGTGCTTGGGGCAGTTGATTGACTGAGGACCCACTACTGAGGAACTGTTGATGAGCTGAGGAACAATGCGATGACTTGGCTCCCTATGATATCCATCATCTTTGGTTTGGGGTGGTTGGCTGAAGCCACATCAGACACGTGGTCAATATACCTCAAGGAGCTCTTCATTCTCTTTCTCGTCTCCTGGCTTTTTCCGTGCACATTTTAGCCGAGCCGAGAGCTTGGCGATGCAGTCGACCGCAGTGGCGTCGCGACACGATGCGGCACACCGCCGTTCACAATCCTGTCGCAACGAGTTGACGGAACGATACAAACTCTGATGTACCGTAGTATACTCAACCCTTCCGCGTCGAAATAATTTACCGTTATGCTTGGTGCTCCGCTTTTTTTTCAGAGCGTTTTTTATTTTTGTGCTGCACCACAAATTTCTATTAAGCTTCGCAAAAAAGGTCAAGCGTTACATTACTATGTGAAAAGGTTGAATATTGCGCGTTATGCAGCAATGCCTCACTCGCCCTTAGGCCATCGTTCCACGCGCCGATCGGAATTTCCGAGCAGATGGACCGGCAATTGAGAGGTACAGCTCTACAATGGCCATCGCTAGTCGATCAACGGACCGGAGAGTGATAACGCAAGTAGATTGACAACTACATCGCCTGCAAACATCTCCCACTGATCATCATCAAAATGCTGGTGTTCTTGGCACATCACCAAGGCTGTTCAAGGTCCTTCGTGAATGAATTTGGCTTAACACAATTTCATAATAGCCTAACGTCCTCGTCCTATTCCCCCAGCGTCCACTACGGCTCCATGACTGAACATCAAGCGAGCCAAATTCAAAATAGCGTCTTTCTTTGGGCCATCTACTTTCCCAATTTTCAACGTGCTCTAATTGCTTTTTACCAGCAGCGTCTAGAGCAGTTCATAGCCAACTTTTCCACATCCTCCCACACATGGTGCTATGCGACAATATGTCAGTCGCATGCCACTCATTGACGTTAGTAGCAACATGACTACCATAGATTTATCATCACAATAACGGAACCACTTCTTATCATTGGATATTGCAAAACGTCGTATGTTGCCATACAGTGCGCTTCCCGAATAGGCGGATTTTCATGCGCACATGGACGACAGCGGCCAAATGCCTTTGTTTACTAAGTGACGAGGTAAGTGGCTCAAATTCACCGTTTGGCTTGTGGCTTGCTGACAGAAGAATTGGGGGATTTCTGCTCCGTATCGCTAGGGCCTCGGGGTCATTGTGGGAGATTTGGCGTATCGGCAGAAAGGCATCCCTGCATCGAAAGGCTCCATGGGACACATGTCCAGAGCCACTCATGCGCGCACATTCTGGCCGTTACAGAGACATCTCTCAGGAGCACGACAGTCACCTATCCAGCGAAGTTGCTCACCACTCGGGACCAATTCGCGTTCCCAGAATTGACCTCAGGGTTCACCGCAGACTGGGCCTAATACCCCGAGCGATTCTCACCAAGTACGCACATGAAATGTGTAAGTTAAGTGTGCAAATTTCCCAGTTGTAGATGCCTTCCTGTGGGCGATAGGTGCTGGAGCTGCGGGTACCGAACAGCGCACATGGAAAGCAGCACTGTGTTATGTCGCGTAGACCGCCCCCTGCCCCAAGATCTCCCAAGAAGTCGTCGACTTCGAGCCCCATCCCACCGATTGTCGCTGGCGTTGCCAACCTGAACCGCATGATATACTTGTTGAAGAAAGGTGCCGCCCACGCTCTTGAGACGCGGGGGTGACACTGGATGACAGCATATGCCATCCTGCATATGCCATCATGCGTGTATGATGTTAAGTTCCTGCTTGCCCAAGACACACAGCATGGACGGCGGCATTCCTGGCATACAGCAGGGAGTCGCTCCATCCAGCGGCACACCAACTGAAACGGAAATAATCAAAATCAGAGCATTCAATGCAAATTCAATGCAATTTGCGGCGACATGCGTGCGTGGGCGCACACACACCACTCCCCCTCCTGCTATTTATCTTCCCTTCCCCGTCAACCTCGAGGACTACAACTATTTTCCACAGCGCCTCCTGCACTACAACGCCCTCTATTTATTCCGCTTATTCGCTTCCAACTGCACACATCACAGGGCCGTCGCCCCTCCCCTGCCCGGCGTCCTTCCATTCACCCCTCTGATGTCCCGTCAGGTCCCCCCCAACCACTGCGGGACCGTTCCCACAACAGTCATTCCGATTTCCACGAATCCCTGTCCCGCCCCACGACCCTCCTCAACATCCCGACGCACACGCCAAGGGGCACCATTCCCAGGAAAACGACGCACGCTATGATCGACGGCATGAAAAACTTTGCGGTCTTGCTTTCAAACCAAGAGCCGAGCCACGATTCTTGGGGAGGCGCCATTTTGGACGACGTCCGCAGGCCTTCCATCGTGATTCCCCTCTCCTCGAGGTCCAAGAGCTGCTTCTCGAACAGTTGGGTGCCCCACTCAAACAACTCGGCGTCCATTAAGTTCTTCTGCCTGCACAAAAAAAGCAAATAGCAAATAGGATCAATGCATGCACTTCACTTGAACCTAATAGATTTTAGTGCATGATATGCATAACATCATGCTAACGCATAATATGCGTTGTATGTATAATCTTGCCCGTGGAGGCTTTGAAGTATATGCTGGAGACAACAATATCTTAAATGTCATCTGTTAAATTGGCGCATCCAACAGCTTTGGCATCCTCGACACGCAGCAGAGGATGCTGTGTGCAGCAGTCTCACAACGTTATCTGTTCTAATCACGTCCCAGAACGCGTTTGGGTAAAGCCAGCGAAGTACATAATGCTAAAGACGACAGCAGCAACTGCCAACATTGTGCATCTATTTAGGAGCCCAGGTGCCAATCCCGTCCTCACAAGAGATGCAAGCCTCACACCACTTCGCAAGCAAAGGCAAGACGGCGTGCAGTCTCAAAGGTTGTTCGCATCAAAGTTATTGCCCCGTCTAAAGCAAGAGAAATTCGATAATTCGTGATGAGGGAGGACCATCAGGAACCGTGGCAGGTCGCAATGGTTTGTTTTAAACGATCTAAACGGAGACGATTGGGTGCATGATCGTAAATCGCACACCGCAAGTATTGCTATCGACAACAGACAAACATAGTTTGCTGTGTTGCATTTGCGTTCCACAATAACTGCAACGGCATGGGAGTTGATACGCAAGCGAACAGGGGCATGCACTCAGCACGACATATGTTGGATTGCTGGTCTAGAAACAACTGTGGGCTCTGCTCTGGCACCATGTGGCGAGGAGCATGCACCATGTGCGCAATTGCAACAGCCAGGACAGCAAGAATTGAACCCACAAAGAGCAAACAAATGTTTTTGCTCTGTCAATGTCTGCCATCGCCTTCAAAGTGCAAGGGCGGTGTTTTGTGCGCAAAACCACGGAAGCCGAAAGGAGCCGGCCAAAGACACAACGGCCACCCATTACCTAATCGTGTCCAAAATTCTCTGCGGGATCTTGGCTCTCGCCGGCTTCGTGAACATGGGCACTCTCTCATCGGGCGTAGAGAGATGGGCCACCGCCCGCACCTTCCTCAGTTTGTTCTTGCTTTGCGCTCCCTTTACACAATTCTCGTATGTGGTCCACAGCCCTTGGGCAGACACTGGCCACGCACCAACACAGTTCTGTCAGCCAAGGACAACCAGGTCGCACTTGATGCCACCTGGCTGGCGTGGCATCAGCAGCTTGATGTGAAACGAAGCATTGAGACAACTTCACACTGCCAGTGTGGACGATAGGCCTGGCAATCGGGGTGTCCTTCTCAAACTGGGGCAGTTGGCAGCTTTGTTGGTGAAGAAACCCAGGTTCTTTGCAAATACACGGCTTGGCCCCAGGAACTGCAGGGTGCCCTGCTAGTGCGCAACACAATGTTGCAATTTGGGCCCGATTTGGGCGAAATAAGCTAACTAAACACAGTCGAAGTTCAGCGATACTGCTGACCATGCACAGCGCATACTGGTGATTGGCGGCATTCAATCGGTGCTGTGAAATCTTCGTTGAAAGGAACGAGGTACTTTGTTTTGTTGGTTGCAGTGTTCATGCCACAGTCGCAACAGCACATTGCAGCTCCGCCTGATCAGCCGGCAGATTCAAACCATGAGCTGACAGCTTTTGTATAGAAACAGGACTCAGCATTTCCATCAATATCACGACGGTTGGTGCACATGAGGCCGATGCCCACCTGTGGTATTTCCCTCATATTTCATGGGATGAAGTGTGCCCAAAGACTGGCCCATGCCTTGCCTGCGTCGAAGCAGGAACTCTGTCTGTGACAAATAAAAGACAACCCATGGTCAAGGCATTGAGGAGCAGCAGCTCCAACATACATGCAAAGCCCCAAAAAACAATAGAAACAATTACAGCGTAAACTGCACTGAGCGATGTGTTCACCAAAATTGAGGGAGCATGCCAAAAGTGAAGCAACCTGGCTGCAACAGCCGGAAACCAGAAGCACACTGAGAGATGTGGGAACAGTGGCACCATGGTTTCTCCAGCTATACACAATTCACTTGCAACTGTGAGGCCTCCCACGCATGTATATTGCCTTTGTGGGGCAGTTCAATCAGCTAAAGATTTCCCACATTGAAGCCACAGAGCACAACACGGTGTAGACACAAGCAAAAAAACGTATGTTCTATTTTCCTTGTATGCTTCCCATGCACTGTCCAGCTATGACGGGGTTTCCAATCAAGTGTGGTCGCAAACATACCTTTTGCAAGGTGTCTGAAGGGTTCACAAGAAGAGGCTTTCGGTGACGATAAAGTATGCTTACATGAACCAATTAGCCACATATTGTACAACATCTGCAACTAGGAAGCAGAAGGCACGTTATGTCAAAAATACAACAAAATCAACCACGCCTCATGTGCCTTGCATACTGCGTGCAGAATGCAGTGATGCTGGCCAAACAGTTGCAACAACAGCAAATACAAGAAAGCAGGGATGACAATACATGGTGCAAATACTTTGCTTGTCCAAATTTAATTGTCTTCTATTTGAAAAAAGGTGAGTTTAGTTACTCAAACAGCGTCTAAGTACCAATAAAGTTCAGAATTGAAAAGATGAATCTCAAAACACCTGACTACTGAATTTTGTGAAGATGCTCACTGCCTCTGATGCCCCCTTGAAATTGCCTAAGGTTCGGTTGAAGACTGTGCATTCTGATTCGGCGCCCATTGGAGATCCACGCAGTTCTGGGTCGCTGCCATCCTAGCCATGCCTAACCAAAGTCGTTGTTGTTGTCATGGCAGAAGGGCAGCGTCCCTCACGTGTATGGCGCTTGCCAAACACGTTCAACCATGCTTGGATCCCCATCGAATAAGCCCGTTGTCACAGCGTCAACGACGGGAGAAATCGCCGCCCTCCCTGGTCTCTGATGCAAGGACTTGCCACAAGCGGAAAAGGCAAACGCCCAACACGCTGAAGCTTGGGATCTGTGTGTGCTATCATTCTAAGGCTATGCTATGAATTTTGTCTGACATTACGCCTCGATTGACCTTTGAATCGAGGCTTTCACGTGCGGCTGGACCCACTCTCCAAAAATTGGCACCAGTGGCCAATTTGTATGTGCGGTCCACAATTCTCCCCAATCTACAATCTTTACTTGTGAGAGAGACACAACAAGTTGTAACTGGCTGTTCGCTTCACGTTCCACCTTTTTAACTATCGAGGCAAGGGTCGACTTTGCCATCCCGCCTTGAAAACCCATTTCCTTAATAGTCCGCCTTTGATTAGGGTAATGGCCATCGCATACCTTCGCACCTCTTCGAGGGGCTTGGGAGGCCTTTTGCGGTATCCCTCACAACAACGATAGAGGTTGAAAGGTCGCGGCCCCAAAATCTAGGCCGGACATGCATCCCTGAATTGGCCAATCGATCTCGAACCAGGGCAACGAAGCCACGGCGACTTTCATGATCAAGCCCACCAAGACCCGTTTTCTACTGCTTCACTTCTTTGCAGAGACCTCTCTGGGCTTCTGTCCAAATGGCATGGATAGTTTTGCATGGGCAGTCCTGTTTGACCGCTGCAAAATCGTGCTCCTCATCATTGCGAAAACCAGCTGTTTCGGTGACATGAAAAACGGGTGGGTTTCTGGCAGGAGGACCCTACTACAAAGTGCTGCCAAGTCCTCAATACTTAACGATTGTCTTGAAATTTGGATAGTATATTCCCAAACCATAGACGCACATTTGGCAAAAATTTCATTGCAAAATAAAGCTTTTGTGATAGAGAACAAGGGCAGCAAAGTCATAGAGGACAACCAATCTTGGATGGAGGAAGTAGTTGACAACATCTCTCACCTGCAGCAGTTTCAGCCTTTTCTTGAACGCAGCAGTCTCCCTCAGCCCCTCCTCAATGTCTTCTTCATTCTCATCCCTCATGGTCTGAGCACACCAGTGCAGTCGTTACAAACCATGGACCCACACATTCGTTCTCAATGCACAATGATGACAACTGGGAAATTGTACCTGGATTCCAAGCACCCCAAGCAGTGGTTACACATACGCAGCCACTGTTGAAGGTGCTGGAAAGCCATCAGTGACACTCAACAAAGCAGGTCCCCACAATGGAGAAGCACCCTTGTGAATTCGATGGAGGGTGCTCATTTGAGATGCACGCAATGGCAGGGGCAGGCAGTCCTTCCTGGCAGCACGCTAGTTGCTGCCAGGGGCATAGTGCCTCAATGAGCCCGTCATCCTGTGTGCAACAGGTAACAGCGGGAGCCACCATTGGGTGTATGCACACTTCTGCAGTACACAAAACTGCAAGTATAAAAGGCACACAAACTTTCCAATAGTAAGATCTTACCGGTTTACTTCCCACATATCTGTTCACTCTCCTGCTCGCTGACCAATCATCCCAAGCCTGCAAAGTCACATGCACAAAGTACTGGTTGCCATGTGCAAAGTAGCTAAAAGACTCCCTGGCATTGCCCATGTTCCATCTACCACCATCCACCAACGTAACCCCTTTCAGGCATCTATCTGACAAATGCTCCGTTGGGACGTAATTATATGCCTCTGGGTGTCACTACGCCTTTGTCACCTCTGTACAACATATTCACATTGTTTATTGGTAATTATCAGCACGAATGTCATTATGCTAGCAAGTTGCCTGGCAAAGCATTGCCCATGAATCTGCCAATGAGGCGATGGCCTCTGCTCACTCTGTAAACGTGTCTTTTCAGTGATTCCTGACTTGCATGCTCAACAAACAAACCTAATGGCTGAGGACAATATGGGAAAGAGCAAGGACACTGCAGGTGCGGCCATCACAGCTAGCAATCTAATGTGCAACTACCTCAGTTGTGTGGCATTTACTGACAATTACTAAAACTTGAGTTCCATGCTGTGCACTGCTGACACAAGGTACAATGGTATATTAGCACAGCAGCAGAAAGACAGCGGACCACGATTCACGGACATGACAACCATCATTATTGAATTTGGACAGGCCGCTCGGTCCGAAAAGTGTTGTCGAATGGGAGTGGCTCCAGAGTAAGAGTGCAGTCCACAATTTGAGTGTCGATATAGCGGAGCCCCCTGATTCATGATTTCATGCCCTTCAATCTAGCCTTTCTTCCGTGTGCTCCACAACACATTTGAACGCTGTTGCCCTATCTGTTGCTCTGGAAAAATGTCCCCAAAGCTTTCCTTGGGAAGTGCGATTCTGGTGCATTGTTGTCACTCATTTATCTATGTTTCCTCACGTCTTCATCCCCTTCCGAGAATCACTGTAACGCCCCACATGCAAATGCAGGGCAGGATGTGCTTTCCACAGACTGGGCGCCAGTCCTATTGGCTTCTGATGCATCCCCAGCAACTTTATATTCTTTCTACCCTGATTTTGTATCATTATGCTCTGTATTCTAAGGAGAATGCCCATTGACGTCAAAACTGAGAATAGAAGCTTGGGACAAGAGAAGTACCCAAAGATTCAGTACAGAACATTGTGAACTGGAAATGAACTAGGAAGGGTAGCTACTGACCTCCACTAGCCAGTACGCTAGCTCTGCATCTGTCATTTCTCTTGGGTCTTTGCTCCGCTGCCCCCAGTAGACTGAACCCTGCCAATTCCACAGTAAGACATTTTTTCAGGTGCCACAGGTGCTGCACGTGTTATCAGCACAAGCAAGTGCAGGTTGGAACATATCTTCTGACATAGCAGCTGTGTTTCAAGCACCATGCAAACAATGGCACATTGCTGCCACCACAAAGCAACTGTAAGGCATTACTTCAACGCATTCCAGAAGTACAGAGCAGAAGTACATTCCAGGAGTGCAGGGAATAGATCGCTACAGAGCACAATATTCAATAATGCACACCCAAAACCATACTGTCTTTAAAGCACATGCAATTCCTTCTCAACAACCAAATCGACCAGCTCTTGGCGTTGACAGTGTGGACCATGCAAGTGCACTGACCATAGGAATGCCGTTGTGTGTATATGTGTCAAGATGAGTTTCAAAGGCCCAGAAACAGGTCATCTACTGGATCACAACCTGCAGAAGTCCCTGTTCTGCTTTGCAGTGCTATGTGTGTGTGTGCAGGTGGTTCTATGAGCGGTGGCGATGGAAGGGGAGGGAGCTCTATTCATCTTGGCTCTTTCGGGTCATTTCCAGTAATGCATCAGTTATTGATCTTCAATCAATGTATGTACATGGAATGCATCAACCCTGAGACTGCATTACTCCAATTGGACAACCAAAACCAGGCCCCTGCAGAGTGACACAAATCTGACCTGCCATGAACAGCACTGATGTTGGACGCAATGCTTACATCAGAATTGATCTCTACATATGCAGGTTTGCCTCTGAATGCTGGCTTCCGCAGGTCCCTTCCCAACATGGCCTGCTCACAGCAAACAGGAACAGGAGACTGAGGGAATTTGCACCAAAGGGAGACAACAGCTCGTCGATGATCGCAATGCCACTGATGCATGTTCACTGTCTGTGGAATGCATCGAAAATACGATACAGCTTTCAACCATGCACTCTACTTCGAACAGTGGCTTCTTCATCTGCGGGTTGAACTTGCATTCACTCACAAAACAAATCTGAACAAAATCGCTACCATTGTGGCTTAGATGGAATGCCGATCTGCTATCTATGCTCACATATGCTTGTTCAAGAAGTGTGCTTTTACCGGTCAACTAAATCGTGCATACTGCTGCTTGTCGCACTAAATGCCATGTTTGTGGCATCAGAATCTGACAAGTATAGCACTGGCAGAGGCCCACTGTGAGATTTCTTGCACTGATGGTATCTGCACACAACAAAATGATGTCCTTGGACCTTGCAGCTGATGGCAGTCATGACTAAATCACAAAGATTGTGCTTAGGGCCTGCATGTCTCCACTTCATGCCCAGTCTGCCTCAAGTACGGAATACTGGCTAGATCTCATTGAACAACAAGTGGTCCATTATCTTCACAGATAGACAGTACATTGAACAGCCAAATGGCCCTGCATCCTAAGGCACAACCAGACACTGCCTACACATCCACAAGGCACTGAAGGGAGCCTTACAAACTCCAATCTGAGTTATCAGATTGTTCAATGCTGGCTCATGGAAATGACCACTTAGCGCCAATCACGATTGTACAAGAATGATGGATAGCATCATGCACTGCTCATGTCGTATCATGCAATGGGCAGTAAGAATGTACTCTCATCAGCTCCTGTTAAGAGTCTATGTCAAGGTGCGGGTGCAATACACACTTTCTGTTCTTTCCAACCTCTTCAACAGCGCATAAGCTTCAACAGACTGGCCAAAACTCCCCACGCTGCCTTCAGATTTACTGCAAATAACTATGGCAGCTGCTTGCCACTATTTTGCACCAACCCTGTAGCCAAAGTACGTAGAAGGCTTAGTACCCAATGTTCTGGCCCTGCAGATGGTGAGCGTGAATAGATGTCCACACATGAGGGGAATCTCTCCCTGCGAAGGACATGTGTGTTTTTGTCCCTTTTGTCCTCTGCATTAGAAATTGAAAGGTCACATATTGTGGCAGCTTGGTGCACATTCCTCAACATAAGATTTTGCGCTGGAAGCCTTGTGAACAGTGACACAGCACTACACTTGCATATTGCCAGTCTCCCATGTTTAATGAAGCTCATGTCACAGACTTGTACACCCACCGCCATTGACAGCAGCGACTCATCCAGCCTGCTCGTCATGGAGACATGAAACACGGATGACAGGACGCCTTTGGCCACTGGCACAAGCCTCTGTTGGACAGAACGGTGACGCTTCGCACAATGCCGCACCTCTGCTGCCTCTGGCCAGTACGAGTTGTCGGTCAAGCCCAGTAGCTGCAAGGCAGTGTGTACAGGCAGATATCAATTCTGGAAGTCTGCAGACTGCTGTGTTTAACTCTCCCTAGGCAGATTCAGCTGAGAAACATGTTGATGGATAAGAATGCTTGCAGGTCAGAATCAATCACAGTATCCCCCATGAATTACTTGCACCAACTTGCTGATTGTGATCTTGTTCTAGTTTGCTTTTAATCCTTTGGAAATGAGCAATAAATCCAGCAAAAGAGTTGCCGTGTTAGGACAAGAGTAACATGAGTAGCATGCCACTACACTGTATTCGCGCCCGGTGCCTCTGCATGCACGCCATGCACTATGCACTGTGCAGATCTTGCAAGATACTTGCCCATAGCACTGAGACAGGCGGAACACACAAATATCAATTCAATATGCCGGCGCACTCAAATCCTTGGAACAGAGCTCTTGGGACATATGCTGATGCGATTGGAGCACATGGTCGCAACAGGGACCACCAAGTGCTACCGTACACATCTAATGCATGCCATCACACTGTTGTGCTCCTGGTGCCACTGCTGGTACATTTCCAGCACAGTCCCAGTACCATAGTTTACACTGCAACTGGGAGCATACCTGCAAAGTCATCGCATTGTGAAGCAGTTCTTCAGCGAGGGGCGAGTTCACAAAGTCTTCCAATGACATCATCAGTGGGTTATCAAAGGGGTCCAAGTTTGGAAGGAAGGTCTTCTTATCTTCTTCTGAAAGGTTCCACTTAGATTCCCTAGTGCCAGTGTTGTAGTAATAGTATGTTGCATTCTCAGTCACAGCATAAATCCACCTTGGAGGCTGGCCCCTCTTTATTCCTGTGGCACAGCAAACTCAAACAATTCAAATACAGCGCATCAGGGCTTCTGACTCATGGAGGTTGCCCCCCATTTTCTCCCTCATTCGTCTTTTCAACTGGAAGGGAAACTTTTCATGCACACAGACAAGACACCCTCCTCAATTACAAAATTCCTGCAACATTCATTTTGCTGGTTGCAGATGTCTCGAAGTGCAACAAGAATTGCATACAGCACATTGGATTCATACTGGGTTTGCTGAAGAACCTGAGTTGGAATAAATGGACCCAGCATCTGCATGTGAGCGTAAATGCAATGGACACACCTAGAGAGTAACCCAGAAGCATGGGGTCCTGGGCGTTGCCACAAATTAAGGTGTGAATAACAATGGCTAAGCTGTTGCAACTGCTCATTTTTGCTGTGCAGGATGTTGATGTGTTGACATGGTCAAAATACAGTTGACAGTGTCTGCATGTAATGCACACAACTTATATTATGAAATAAAGCTGGCCAAACTGGCAATGTCAAAATACTGTCTCAATGAAAAGGCACAAAGACAAACTGGGCAACATCCCTAGCAATTGTTCTCTGGATATGTTGTGAATGCATTTCATTAGTCAGAGCCAAATGCAAGAGTGCTTCTGGTATGTGTGCTGCAATCAGATCGACTTTCACTTGAATACAGGCACAGATACAGAAGTCAACTTCACCCTTGCGCTGAATGACCACGTGAACTTTGAATGAAGAAACTTTGACGGCAAATGCGCTGCTGGATTCTAATGTATCGATTGGTGTCATATTGCAGGCAGGCAAGGATTTGCCACCTGCC